ACTCCTTGGTGACCTTCCTCCGCCCACTGAATCATATCAAGAGACCCACCCTGCTCATCCCTCGTCACATCCCCTACACCACCCTCCCCTCATCAACACAAGACAGCCAGTCAACAACACTGTCCACCCCACCTTCCCTTCCATCAAACCGGAGCATTATTAAGCACAGCATCAGGCACAAACCTGTGTTTTTTCAGTTCTTGAACCAGCAGAGCAGCTGACTTGTTGCTGAGGGTAATACGAAAATCCTTCCAACACAGATTGTCATCTTTTCAGACAAAGAATCCGTCTGTGGTCTCAGTATTATGTCACCTTTGGGTCTACATAACCCGATTCCTTCATCCCTGCACAACCGAGGCTCGGACAGCCTACCCATACCATCCCATAGAAGAAGAAAACTCAGAACAGAACCCATCATCCCCTAAGCAGTTCCTATCAATACAATAGACATCGACCTTCCTGGCCGTCCCATCCCTTTCTGACTGCCCAAAAATCCCATGCCCAGAATAGGGCCATCAGAGCAGTCCACTGAAGACGATACAAAAAGACCATAATGATTAGAAATGGAAGAAGCAGAAAGAAGTAATTTGGAATTAGGAAAAGCTGCAAACCAATCAGAGTTCACAAAAGCTCTGTCAAGTCTAGCCCAATCAGAGTTCACAAAACCTCTGTCAAGTGAGACGCATATTCTTCTCTGAGAAAACTGATTGTTATTCCAAGTCCATACACGATTAACAATAGAAAGCTCCATCAGGTTACAATCAGAGAGAATGTCATTAAACTCATTTAGGATCGCATGTGGAACAGGCTTACCTCCCATTTTATCTCCATGCGATCTAGTAAGTTTCCAGTCACCAACAGCTAGCCTTGGCCCTTCAATGATATAAGAATGATCAAGTAGCTGCTGCCATAGAAATTTTCTTTCTCTAGGAGTATTGGCTGCATAAACTGCTGACCTAAAGAAAACATCACCTGACTTAAGGACTGTAACTCTTGGTAGCATTACTTGGGACAATGCCAGAGACAACAGACACCTGAAATATGGATGGATTAAATGATTGTAGTTTGCCTCCCAAATTCTCCCATTTTTACTTGAATTGTAGTTTGCCTCCCAATTCCATTGCTTATTAATAAGGGAAGAAATTCTGTGATAGTTTCAAGAAAGAACTCTAGTCTCCACCAAGCACGCCAAGGAGAGTTTAAATGATTTGATCCAGAAAGCCACCTCCTCCTGCATTTTGGGCCTATTTAGGCTCCTCATATTCCAGGATCCGATCATAAATTAGGGGGAGGAGGTGGTGGAACAATACCAGTTTTACCCCTATTATTGTTCTTCTTCCTACCCTTCTTCTTTCCTCCCAAAGCTGCTATAGGCTGATCTTCACCCTCAGCTTCAAGTATAGATTCTGATAGATTATCCTCTCCTACTTGCTTCAAATCAGCTCTCTCAGGCATTTCATCGAGTACTGCAAAAGCATTTGGAGAGACTACCTCAGGTTGAATTGCAAGGCCTTTACCCTCATTCTTGGATTTACTTTTGGAATGATTTTGAGAGATAAAGCCATCTGAAGATACATTTTCACATTCAATAGCATTATTAGGACTGTGAGGCACACCATCAGGAACTCCAGCCTGAGGCATTGCCTTGGTGGAAGGTCCTGCAGACGCCTGAATAGCTGGGATTGTCTCCACAGAGGATTCATCCAAAGTAACAAGCTTCCCCTTCAATTTCACCACCCATTGTTCAGTAGCCTTCTGTTTCGAATTTTGTTATGGAACTGCCTTGGGACAATTTTTCTCTAAATGATCAATCCTCTTACAAACAGTGCAAATTTGAGGCTTCCACTCATATTCCATCCTAACCGTGCATTCAGAACCTTGTATCCAAGTAGTCACCATTTCTGGAAAATCCCGATGCACTTCTATCTCAGCCATAACCCTAACAAATAGTCCTCTTTCCCTATTAGCCTTTACATCATCAATCTCCTCTATAGATGTACAATATATCCCCATCCCCCAATAGAAAAGACGACTCATAATGTGGTATTTTAACAGTCCTATGGGAGATTCCTCCCCATCAAAGAATCTACTATTTCGTTCCTTCCAAATGCACCACCAAACGCAAAGGGGGGGCCGCCCTCCAAAGGTGATGAGCGTGAGAACCCACACCACACCCTCTCCAAGAGTCAATCAGACCTCTGGAAGACCGGGTCATGACCCATTGCATACCAAACAGACCAAAAATCAGACTCCAACAGTCGTGAGCCACAGGGCAATGCAAAAGCAGATGATCCACTGACTCTCCGTCCCTCTTGCACATGCAACACCAATTGACCGTTACCTGTCTTCTTATTGGGAGGTTATCCACAGTCAGAATCTTGCCCCAGATTGCAGTCCAAACGAAAAAAGCCACCTTGAGGGGAGCCTTTGAGCGCCAAACCGTCTTCCAAGAAAAATCAGCCCCTAAGAAGCCTGAGAGGCAGCAGGCCATTATATGGACTATGATCATTATAATTGTCATACCCATGGTTATCGAAGTTTAGTCTATATCCTTTTTTTTTCAAGTCCATGCTGATTTGTTCCATGCAAGCCACTTTATTAGTTAGGATGGAAATTGTGTCCAAAGAAGTCACCAGTACTGGATTGTTGCCCATATGAGCCCACATTGCTGACCCTATATATATGTATTGTCGCCCATGCATCAGTTTGGTCATTTGAAGATGAACCCACTGCGTTTTTGTCGCCCACATGGGGCTGTTTGGTCGCCCGAATCGCCTTTTCCCAAGCTAGTATTGGCGACCAAGTCCTCCATGTTGTTGCCCAGGTGCTGAAGTAATAAACAGAGACCATCCACTGATTTGTCGCCCATATTAGGGGTTTTGTCGACCAGATGAAATTTTATTTTTATTTTACTTTATATATATATATATAAGGCTTTGTGTGGGAAGTTTAAGGGGCTGTTTGGACAGTTCCTAATGGGCTTTAATCTGATTATTTTTAGCATGAATGGGGGCGCTTAAGGTACTGTTTGGGATCTATTTAAAGGAGAGTGTAAGGGGGGCTATTTTTGGGCTGTTTTAAAAACTATCTCAGGGCTGTTTGGGGGCTGCCTTGTGGACTTTAATTGGTCGTTTTGGGGCATGAATGAGGATATTTAAGGGAGTGTTTGGAAACGAGAACTGTATTCCTTTACTTCCCTCCCTTATTATATACTTCCCATGAAAATTTAGGAAATTGCTTCTATGAAAAAACTGTGTTTGTTATCATTTTATTTTCTTTCAATTGTTGATGTTTATTTATTTTTTTAAAAATGATTTCATGACGTAAATGATTCTAAATGGGGGCCATTTTAGATTCATTGAGGATCAAGCTCTCCCTTTCTTTTCCTCTAAAAGGCCCATTTAGAATCATTGAGGATCAAGTTCTTTTTCTCTCCCTTTCTTTTCCTCTATTCCTTTTAAATGTGCAATGGATCAATGTAAAATTATTTTCAACCTCCTTTTATTTCATCAAAAATGTTTTAATGGATATAGAATGAAGGGATGTTGGTGTTCATCACCCATAGTGAGGCTTGGGTTCTAGTTAACCCTAAGGGGTTGACGGTGTGAGGTTGCTTCCGCATGGAGGTGTTCGGTTCCGGATTCGGATTCGCTTCTTTTTTCTTTTCCTTTTCTCATTAACCGGACCTTTGGGATTTGGGGCATGACACTACCTGTTTTAATCCTTCTTGTTATATCGTCTTATATCTTCTTGCCTTTTATAGATATCGAAACTTGAAATGCTATTATTATGTCATCAGTCTTTGTATTTTATTGAATTAACATTCCACTTCTATAAAAAAAAATTAACATTTTGACTCCTAACTCATTTATCCAAGTTTTCATGGGTTTTCCTAGAATTGTCTATTGAATTATGTCACCAGCAAATTACGCGCACCATGAAATATCTCTTCTTATATCTTTCGTTATTCTATATAGAATGATTACGAACAGATTTGGGGGCGTAGTACAGAATGTTGGCGTAATACTCCTTTATTAAACAATCATTAGTTTCTTCTCATATGATATGAACTCTTATCCCTCTACTCCATACACTCAAACTCTGGTGATTATATCTTTATGCATATCCTAGATATTTTTGGTAAAACGTCTTTACTTTGTAAAGCCCACCAAAGTATCTCTTGGCTATCATTTGTATTCATTTTCTTAGTTTATGAAAATCATGTCTAAATCTTTCTTTTAAGTTTCTCAATTTTACCAATTAAGTGTCATATCAAGTAACAGCCTCTATTGTAGATGTTCCTAGCATAAATCCAAACTGGAACGTCTTTCTGCATTCTTTTCTATTACAAGTTGTCTCCCTATATTTTATGTTTTAATATTATTTCTAAGTACTTCATCCCATGCGGTGACTTTTGGTTGTCCTCATCTCTAACTTTCTATGCAAATAAATCTACTCCATAGGTCTCTGTTGTATATTGCAATACCACCTAAGTCTACTTTATCAGTAACAGGTGTCACTTCTACTTTCCCTCTCACATGATTATTAATTCTATCTTTCTGGTCACACCTATCATCCATCTTAACATTCTAATTTTAGGTATATGAATGCATAGTTTTTCTTTCGGAGAACAGTTTTCTTATTATTATTTTTTCATTGGCAAGAAACTTACACCCATTTGACTTGAACCCTCACCATCCACTTTGGGAGGTAGATGAGATACCACTAGGCTACACATCCTTTGGTAACAGTTTTCTTATTTTAACCAACCATTTTATAATTTTATTTATTTATTTTTGTGGACAATGCATGCACATAAACCAGGGTTTCGAATTAGTGAGCATTTAGACAAGTAGCTTTAAATATCTAATATTATCATGTTGTAAAAAGCTGTAGAAATTGACATTAAATTTGCATCTGAATTCCATATTATCCCTATTGCTCTAATCTTTCTTCTTCTTTTTAATTTTCTTTTTCCCTCTTCTTCTTTCCTTTGGCAGGGTTTTGGTACATGGAGCAATGATCTCTGCTTTTCTGACTATTGCTCAGGCGATGAGTGATCAAGGATGTGTATAAAATAGTGTTCAAGAAGCCCATTTTCATGCTCTTCCAGACCGGGCCCTTAGCTGCCTGCAGCTCTAGATGAGTTTGGAGGCATGCCCTTGTTGGCAGGAAACTGGAACACAATGACAGCAAATAATCCGTCATCTCTGTGTCATGTGGATCTCAAGATTCATAAGCTAACGACGCTTAATGCTGGATTATGGCAGGAGATTCTTGTAACATATTGTATTTTTATAGATAGCTGACGCTTGAATAGGCTTAATTTGAGGATTGGTTGGAAAACACCCATCAAGTTATTGGTCTGTAATTTTTTTTTTGTTGAAAGTTAAGTTATTGGTAGTTTAGGTGATAGAATAGCATAGAATAGTCACTGGATATATTGATGTTACATGTTACTGTCTTGAGAAATAGTGGCAGTCTTGTTGGAAATAAAATATATATATATATATATTCTTTATTGGCATTTCCTTTGAAAATTATGTATAAATGGCTCTTCTGATACACGTCTTCTCTTATGCATTAAAGAAAAACATGGTACTGCAGACAATTTGTAGAACAAGAAGGGAAAGCAAATCAGCCTCCATGGAATTCTTCATTACTAAAGATTTGATTTTCTCCGATCGTATGCAGTACTTCTTCCAGTTCCTCCGAGGCTTCCAAGGCCCTCAACCTCAGGTAAAGGTCCTGCAATATTTTAAAGTTTTGACAGATTGATTTATTTTCACCCAAATGCAAGAACTGATATACCAATTTGAATCCAGAGTATCAAATAGAATACATATGTATATACACGTATCCATATATGTGTATGAATTGGATGTAGAGGGAAGGTGAATTTCACTAGCATAATGAAAAAAGTCGAAACTTTTAGAAGACAAGGTTGCTCTTCCTATATGCTAGCTTTGGCATCTTCAAATAAAGATGTTGCTTCAACTGTTCATTGAGGGAGAGCACACAAGAATATACTGGTCTATTGTTTTTTTAGAGTTTCTCTCCCAGGAGTTTGAATTTTGGCCTCCCAATGGCCATCAAAGGCATCGTTTGCTGTTATATTTCTTGAATGGGAAAGTTTGTTAATTCAGATAATTTTTTATGTTCATGTCACTATAGTAGTATTAGTCCTCTGGTCGTGAAAAATCTGCGGCGTTGAACACTGTAAAGAGAAGGAAAATTGATCAAAACCAAAGGGCAATCACGCCATTAAAAAATGGAATACGTAATATAGAGACTTCTTAGTAATTTTATTTTACAAGAAAAAAGGAGTCGAGCGTAAAGTACATTGTTAGAGTGCCAATATAACTCCCTAATTTTAACATATATATATATATATATATATATATATATATATATATACCTTAGGGTCAATCGATCTCCAACATGCATGCATGTAATGGGAGACAAGAAATGAAATGAGACTCGAGATTTTGACATACATACCTTAATTCATTCGACTCCAACCCGGCCAGTCTTCTGTGATGTAACTATTGGATAGATCACGACTAGTTTGTTCATACGAAAATTGGTTGCATTAAAATGGGGAGGGCAATTTTCCAACTAATCATCTTAAATTTGACAAGTGATGCTTGAAATCCCCAAGAAGAAAATATGCTCTATCTATCCGGAGATAACTCATGAAATCAATTTTGCAAAACCAATTCAGAAAATCTCAAAACGTTCACGCCTATGTAAGTCCTTATGCGTGTACTAGATTGAGACAACACTTCCACTTATGAAGTGTGGGACCTCTTTAAGGAAAACGTAAGAATAAATCCGGAAGTGTTCTACTTCCATCAAGCATATCTTTTTTTCTCCTTAACCAGAATGGTGGTTATAAAACCACCGTAACTTCTTAAAACCACTTCTCAAAACTGTAAGAGATATGTCAGAATACCAAAACTGCAAGGGATGTCACGTGGTAATATAGTCCACATCATCTTTGTTAACAAATGTGTACATTATCTCACTTGGCTAATATTGACACACTAATTTCTCTTAGGGTGCGTTTGGATGCATATGAGAGAAAAGAAAAGAAATGATAGTATGAATTAGGAGAGAAAAAAAAAAAAAAAATAATATTAATAATTTCTATTCATGTTTGGATAGATAGGGGAGAAAAGAAATGAAATGAAATGATAATTATTCTTGTTTGGATAAGATAGAGGAAATAAAAGAAAAGAAAGGATAATAATCAAATTACTGTCCTACCCTTTTATATTTATAAGCGATTTAGTGTCTTTTGTTTCGAGTTCAATCAAAGAATACTGATTCTGACTTTTTGGGACTAACCAAATGAAGTCCAATCCACCAGAAAAATGATGCCATTGGATTTTCACATAAGCCTGCTAGAAAGACTCAATCTGAAGACTGGTTATTGACATCTTCAGTGCCTTATATTAAATGACATTTTTTTTTTTTATTAGGGATTTTTACTAATACATGGGCTTAAGGCCCACATACTACCATGAGAAGAAGTCAAATCCTCAATTTATCAAGAAAATGAGGGGACCACACAACTTTTTTCTTACAAATGAAAAGACTATTCAAATATTTCTCTAAAATGGACTATTTTCTACTTTAGACCACACAACAGTTTATATTGATACTTTGACCCAACAAAATATGTTATTATATCATAAAAGCTTTAAATAAGTATACAGAAAGATCCTTGAACAACTATTTAATATTTTTAACAAACTATTTTTTGTTACTTTTTAATTAAGATGGATTAATATGGACTTATAGACTTCTTTTGACAAAAGATCTTATATATAAATTAAATTTAACGAAATAGTATAGGCTCTGATACCAAAATTGAGTTGGATCTAACCGGATAGAAGTAAGCAAGATAACATAGAAATAAAATAACAATTAAATCACAGAAATGACTACCGAACCTGATAACACTCTGATAACGCCCTGTAGAAACGCCTGAACACCGGCAAAGAACGGGCCAACAAGCCAGCAGTTCGAGTCAACTTACAGAAGAAATTGTTAATTTAAAACTAAGGCTGCTTGTACTGGTTGGATTCAAGAAAATTCTAGGATCTACACTGTCTGGCTAAATAAAATCTATATATTTGATCTTTTGTAGACAGAAGTCTTTTGCCCGAAAGTACTTAAAATACTAAATAGGGATAAGAAAATTCTTGGAGTGAAAGCAAACTGGATGATTTATTTCATAAGAAATATATACAGAGATACACACTGTTTGTATATGGATACTTGCTGACACAATATTTTACAGAAAGAACACTCGGAAATAAAGGAAACTGAAAGAAGTCACAAAAGAAACACACTGGAAACTGCAGAAAAGCTTGACGATTCTAGACTTGATTGCTCTAAAACTCGATGATCTTTACTTGAGCAGAGAGGCTTCTTTTTATAGCAGAAGAGAGGGATGAATCGGCGGTTGAGCTTGAAGATGCTACATGGATGGTTGAGATTCAAGATGCTTTAGGGATAAGATAACATGAATTATTGCTGAACTGTTGATGTCTTCTTCTGGAGAATTATATCTACTTTTGTTGTTGAGAATCTGCTTTCGGTGGATCTATTTTTAACTGTACACTATTGAATCTACTTTTCTTGAATGCTGAAGCTACTTTTTCCTGTATACTGTGGAAAATTTGCCTTTTCACTAGAATTCTTGCATATTGGACAAATTCCTGTCGGTAGTGCTATCTGTTGGACTGTCAGCTCTTGTTCTTGCATGCCTGCGGGCCAAGTATTCATCAATACTGTCTGGTGAGCTGGTTTCTTCATTTTTGTAGGCAAGATCAAACTGTTCTAACAATATCTTTTCTTCATTTATTATTTCTTCAACTTCTGGGATATCTCAATCTCTGGAGGGAACTTAATGATATGAGGAATTCTTGCTTTAACAAAAATCTCCATGTTGATATTATGATCATAGAGTCTGAAACCAGGATTGTAGCTTGGGTTAATTTGTCGATAGGCTTTATACTACACCAAATGGTTAAAGGTAGCTGGTTCTATCTCATTATGAAAGTTATTTACAAAATCAACATGTTGGGTAAGAATTTTGACTTCAGTAGGATCAGAATGCATGTAAATTCGATGCTGTCCCAAAATTATAGCTCCATCTTTTACCCATTATGGGGGAGTACTGTGGATTTGAAGGAGAAGTGGACTTTCTGGCATGAAATTTTGGGTTAGTTTTTGTTCGAAGGCAATGACTTGGTTTAAACGGTTAGGAAAATTACATAAAGAATTTAGATATTCTAAGGGCGTATCCTTGGGTATAGTGACACTGTAGATCATTCCTAATTCTAACAGCTTGCTTAAATAACAAATGATTGTTTTAGTAGAGAAAATGGTTTTTCTAGTTATTTCAAAAGGAATAAAGAAAATAAGGTCTACATCTAACAAGATAATGGCTCTTGGTATGTCAGTGCCTGTTTGTATTAATCGTATGAAAGTATAGTTATAACGGGTTCCTTTGGGTGGACTGTTGTTTCTGAGGTAATTTTGAATATCAACCCATTCCTTGAGCCCATCTGACTTAATTTCTTCAAGGATAAATTCTTTGATGTCTTCTGGAAAAAGCTCAACTTGTCGTCGCAGGATTTCTCTGTATGTAGGAGAAAACATGAGTAATAACTTGGCATACTTGATTTGTACCTGCAAAAATTGAACCTTCTGAAGATTTTCATCTTCATCAGTTTGTTTCTCAGAAATAGTTAGCTCTGTGGGATTTGCTATCCTTTTTTGATAGGCTAAATTTAACTTTTTATAATGAGATATAAGCGTCTCATGTTCTTACTGTAAATTCTGATACGCTTTATTAGATGATACGAAATATTCACTTAACGTGTTTAGATTTCTGACGAGGGTTCTATCAGGGTTGTTTCTAGAAAATGAAATATTATCTAAAATAAGTTTTTGGTCAGGGAAAAAATTATGTCTAGCGCGGAACTATTGAGCTGGGTTTTGGATAATCAAAAGAGGATTAGAAGTGCCTGGTATAAGGCTATAGCTATTGTTGCTCTTAATTTCCATTCCTGTAAAATTTAACATTCAATTAGTAAACGGGATAAAATATCTGCTAAATAATTGTCTTTTCCTTTAACACGTTCAAATATGGGTTTAAAACCTCTTCCAGTAATACAATCAATAAAGGAAATCCATCGTTTTGCAGACATCCGTTGTTGTTTTGCTTTGTTTGCAAATTTAACTATGTTATCACAATCTGTTCTTATAAGAAATTCTTTATCAAGAAATATCTGAAATTTTTTTATAGAGTTAGTCAATCCTAAAATTTCTAGATCTGTTGAGGGTAAAATAGATTGTGCTTTATTAAAAGTTCCATTGGTATGGCAGCAAATTTGTTCTTCATCTCGAGAAGATTCTTTTGTAGGTCTTTAAAGAAGTAAACCTGCCCATCCCTGAGCTAATGCATCTGTTTGAATTATTTTATAACTATTTTCAAGGGGAAATTGCAAA